ATGGTGGCAGCCGCGGCCGGGCGCACGGCAGCGCTACGCCTCCTCCTAGCTCGCGGGGCGCGGGTGGACGCCGGGGACAGCACGGGGACCACGGCGCTCGGCATAGCGGCGAGCCTGGGCCGCAGGGAGGTACGTCCCGGCCTGGCTGCGGGGAGGGAGCGGACAGGTGGGCCCCTTGGACGGGTGGAGGGAAACTGGAGGGTGGGAGGGTGGCTGGGAGGGTCTGGCGGCCAGGGGTCCCTTGACCGTTTCTGCCGTTTGTAACCTCTCTTGGAAGGCCGGTGAGGATGCCTGGCCGGGCATTCGTACTTTATCCTGGTGACGGGCAGCAACAAATACACAGCGAGCACCAGGGCTGTCCTTGAGCCCAGCGAGCCCCTAGGCGTGGGAAGGGAGGCCGAGGACTGCTTAGTCTTGGATTTTATCTGAGGATGTTTAGGACAAGTGGTTGTCTTGGAGTGGAGTCGCCCCCCTGGGTGGCAGAGGTGCGGGCTCATTTTTACCCAACAGGGAAGCAGCACTGAGAAAGAGGCTGTTGGGTGGGGGAGGCCAGCCTCTGTCCTCTCCCTCCCTCCTCTCCTAGGACATGGAGGTGCTGCTTGACCATGGGGCAGACCCCAGCCTCAAGGACAGGCACAGTCGCTCTGCACTCCACAGGGCTGCTGCTGGGGGACATCTACCTGCTGTCCAGTGGCTAGCAGCCTGGGGAGCAGAGGTGGATGCTCGAGACTCATTGGGCCTCACACCCCTACACCATGCTGCTCGGGGAGGCCACGCAGAGGTCGCCAGCCACCTCCTAGACAGGGGAGCGCAGGTCAATGCTGCTGGATGGCTCCACAAGACCCCCCTACACCTTGCCACAGAGCATGGCCATGGCCCCACCGCAGAGCTTTTGCTGAGCCGAGGGGCTAGCCTCACCCTGAGGACACAATGGGGTGAAGCGGTCCAGGACCTGGTGTCCGAGGGGGTCTGCCCCAGGTACTGCCCACCCTTTGCCGAGAGCAGGAGTGGGAGGGGCACATAGCCCCAGAGGCCCTGAGCTGGACAGAAGTCTTTGGGCTTCCACAGCCTTCAGAGTGTGCCAGGCTCCTCTATTCTGGACTGAGGCTGCCTGCCTGAGGGGAGGGCAGCTGAGAGGTTCCCAGAAGAGAAGGGGGCAGTGGCTTGAGCTCCAGTAATGGACCTGGGACTGCCCCACTGCCCCCTTGGGGCACATCACCCCTGCAGCTCTAGCCTTCTCCACACTCTTTAGCAGAGAGACTAAGTCGTGGCAATAGATTTGACTAAAACCTGACAGTCTCCCCTGTGTCCACTGTGGGGTTGTCACCCTCAGCTGCTCTCGCTGTACATGGGGATGTTCTTCCTGTGTTTTGTTATATCCAGGATTTGTCTGTTGGCATCCATTTATCACAGGGCCAAACTAATGGCCACAGTTGTTTACATCTCCCCTGTGATCCAGGGCCCGCTCTCAGAACTGCTGTCTTTTTTTTTTTTTAATTTTTTTTAGATTTTATTTATTTGAGAGAGAGACAGAGATAGTGAGATAGAGAGCACAAGTGGGGAGGAGAGGGAGAAGCA